GAACCCAAGGATCAACGGTGCGAGCTAGGGAATACACCACATAGTGAATGTGAACGGCAGTATTATTATTTACGTATCCTTGTGCGTCGAAGATATCTTCAGAGTGGGTAGTTTATAGCGTTCTGATGTTCGCATGGTTGAAGTCTGAAAACCCTAATTGTGAGAAATTTGCGGTTTCGCAAGCCACATTTCCTGAGCTGAGATAGATGGTAGTGATGACATTAAAATGCCAATTATCTGTATCTGATGTTATGTCAGTACGTCAAACAACGTAGAAACAATTCCACGCCAACTCCCCCCCCCCATTTGCTTACGCACGCTATTGGGTCAAACGAGGGATCGTCCGAACAATCAAGACAGTCTCCAAGTCGTACTGGACAGTTATTCGGGCCTTTCTGGCATGCAAATTAAATTGGGCTTACTGTAGGAATGGTTGCTTTTAAGTCTAAAGTACAGCTTCCGAACCGGCTGATGTGGGTTCCGAACTTGACAGACCAACTTCCAATCGAGTAACGAATTAACGCGCCAGTGCACTCACATACAGCAAACAAACATCGCACAGAGACGGTTTCTATTAAACACGCGATTCATTCGTTCAGATTCAATGACAACATCTTGCCTGGCAATGAACATGTTTGCGAACTAGCATCTAGCAGTTCCTCTCACTCTTGGAAAAGCCTGACATGACGTGCGCAGTAATTTCTTATTCACTACTATTCAACTATCCACGCTGATACTGTGATATATCTGACGGTTGCTTCACCCGGCAAGCTCACTTGGTCCTACAAAGCGCTTTCCAAACCTCCTGATTTTCCGAACAAAAACTGTATCGACATTATCTCAGGCTGATCATGAAAGAGTACGGCGCAGCGAATACCAGCACGAAAAGGACCATAAGTTGAACATATCACTCGGACATGGCCCACTGGAAGCCAGTCCCGTGTCACTCCCTTGCGCTAGACATCAGATATCGCTTCAACCGCCGTACGAACACACAAACGTACGTACGTGCAAACATATTTTGAAAACACTGTGGATACTCACACGTCCCTACGCGCTGCCAGTAACGTGCTATACAAACGGAAACGTAAAAAATAGGCCGACAACGTTATCAATACAAGTCATTTTTTTCTAGACAATTAGTAAAATGTACACACATATGTCGAATAGCATTACGACATCCCACAACGCTGATATCCTTGGTGGCTGCTTCGGCAATGCGTTCAAGGAACTGCAGCCTCCATTCCATCTGCACCATGCGTTTCTGGGGATCCCCGGTCAGAATTTCCTCGTAATGCACTCGCATCTCCTTCTTCACTCTGGCGTTCACCACCTGCCAAACATTCTCGATCGGATTGAGGAACGGAGAGTATGGGCTCAATCTCAGTATGGTTACTCCATCGGATCCATCTACTGACGACAGTTCTTCCAGTCGTGTGTGACATGGTGCATTATCACATATCACGACAACCTGCCGGAGCTCCATCTCCCATTTCAGGTTGTCTAAATAGCTTCGCAGCCATTCGAGAGATAGGGGACCTGTGAATGAGCCTATCCGGGTGGTCATCGACACTTTCCCTTCCATCGTGAGTGCACCGATTAGATGCAAATTGTGCCCTCTGCTGTTGGCAACTTTGCAACAGGCCCTCACTCCTCTGGGCTCCGAACTATGAGTACGTTTGCAGTAAATGTTGAAGTTCACTTCGTCAAACCAAATGAATAACCTGCCATCGCTCTCAAGTTGGAGAAACTGCTGAACGAATTCCCTGCGTATCCCTTTGGTTCGCTCATTGTTCATTCCCTCGGGAACCTGATAGATGTTCTTCATAGTTATCAATCGACCATCTAGGTGCCGTGTGATTGTTGACTTCGAAATGTTCTTGTTTATTTCTGCTCGTACTCGCATTACCCGTAACGTAAGAGTTGAGTCCCTTGCGATCCAATCCAGGATGTCATCTATGTCTTCCTCCGACAAAATCCGTTTACGACCGCGCGCCTGCGTAGTACTCGGCTCCTGATCAAGAGAACGACGAATTCAAGAGTAGGCTGTTTGATATTTGATGTTGTTCACAGTTGCCACAAGCTGCCAGTCATCACCGTTGACGAAAGCGCCCAAAACTCGGTCACGAATGTCTGATGAGATACTCTGTCGAAGGTGAGAAGGCATGCCGACGACGTTAGAATCATAAACATGGTTTCGGTCGTGCGCTTATGTTGCAGTTGTTCATTGCTCTCAGACCAATTGTGATCCATCGTTTCCGACGTGAGGGGGACGCATACAAACCCGTTGCACCGTCGAAGTGCATTCCCCTAAGGTTCATTCACAAGTCTCACCCAGTCAACGAGCAGCGCGCTCACCTCCCCAGATTAACCCACTGAACCTTGGCATCCGGCCAATGAGAACACAGTTAAGGCCAGAGGATTGGCTCTGAGCGGCTGGCGAATCGCACTGGGGTTTTGCAACATTTTGCACTTTCTTCGAAAAATTTTGCTCCTTCTTTGCAAAGTTTTGGACCTTTTATGAAACTTTGCTGGAAATGCTGTAGCTTGCTTTATCCTGGTTGTTTTAGCCTGGCGATGAAGCTTTAAAAACCAGCTTGCTCGCCAGTTTCTTTTTGTGACATCAAGAGATTGTTAAAAGGAAAGGTCATGGTGTATTGCATCGGCGGGATACTGTCAGGTTGCCCAGCCCTAGACAGGAGAACCATTATGGTTCTCAACCAAAGCATTTCTGTCAAAAACCTTAGAGCACGGCAGCGGGGTTTTGGCACTGTACTACAGAGAGACGTAATGAGCCACGCTTACTCTAACCCCCAAGCTAGAGGGCCAAGGTATTGCGTTTGCCTGGCCTCTAAGCATTGACCAATCTGGTATGATTGACTCTGAAGGTTAAAGAAGCACCACCCAGCATAGCTCAATGGATCACTGAGGCACAGAAACCATTGCACCACGTTAGGGTCCAGGCTCATCGCGATGGAACCGTTTGTATAACACGGTGCAATCTTAAACGTACTACTGAACTACTCCATTGATCGTGGCCTATAAAGGAATGGTATACGTGAACTTTTCACGAACGTGAATACAGTGTGGTATTACGCTCTTTACAAAGTCCTCAACTGTGGAGCAAATTCGTTACATTTTTTTTGGTTTGTTCTGCGTACTTGATAATCTTCTCCCAACGTGCCCACGTTGCTCATGCAAATTGTGGTAAACTTGCGTAAGTGTATCGCGTGGTATTTTTTTAAATAACTCGGTCACGAATGTCTGATGAGATACTCTGTCGAACGCGAGAAGGCATGCCGACGACGTTAGTATCACAGACATGGAATCGTTCGTGCGGTTATGTTTCAGCTGTTCATTGCTCTCAGACCAATTGTGATCCATTGGGCAGCGCGCTCACCTCCTTTAGACTAACGCACCGAACCTTGGCATCCGGCCAATGAGAACACAGTTAAGGTCAGAGGATTGGCTCTGAGCGGCTGGTGAATCCCACTGGGTTTTGCAACATTTTTGACTTTCTTTGCAAAGTTTCGAACTTTCTTTGCAAAATTTTGCTCCTTCTTTGCAAAATTTTGGACCTTTTATGCAACTTTGCGGGAAATGCTATAGACGCGCTTGTTCTGTGGCTACTCACAGGCATGGTGATAGCAAATGCGTAAATTTATACGTATATGTGCTAACAGTCAGAAATTATGTAACAGATGCCGTCTCATCAAGGACTGATTTCCTATCTGCCGACGATCTGCTCAGCGCTTTTATGTAATCATATTTTTCATCTCCGTACACCGTCTATAGTGAACTCTGTTGGTTTTTGAGCTTTGGATCCACTTCCTCCCAGCTTGAGTAGCATACACAGCGCTGACGCTTGCAGTCTTAATCCAACTGTCACGAAGCGCACAATCCGAGGTGATACCGTAAATGCATTCCGATTCGTGTGTATTCATCGATGTCCGTATCCCAGCCTACAGTTATCTGGTTTCGGTAAGCCCTATCGCGGATGAGGCAAACCCTAAACCCAGCAAGGTTATAAGAGCGGAATTCACAGGGACGACGAGTCACTATGCATTAACAAAGGATAAGGATTCGCAAAAGCAAGAGGTGAACACTAGTTGCGCGACAGGCCTTTACATTATGCTAAAACTAAGTGGTATTCCGGTAGTTTCGATTCAGCCTAACCAAAGTTAATGAATCAATGGCACATGTAGACTCACTCAGTAGCTAGTGCATCTTCCAGTGTGCCTTTTTCATATTTGTTCTCCTAAGTGGTTGGCCACAGACGCGCCCCCCATATCGTCCAGTGGCATCTTGCGGTGTTCATAATTTACTAAACAGCGTTGGGTACTGTGGTTGCGCTGATTGGCACAACCATTTCTTCCATGGATGTGTGGTGACTAGGGGGCTGAGCTTAGCTGCAATGACTCGTAACTGCTTACCGGTTGGCTGAACTGTGCCCCCCCCCATGTAGCCCTTCACAAACTGGATTATCGTGGTGCAGGCCCCATACAGTGTTGATGGTGATGTTTGCACACCTTCATTCCATTAGTTTTGTTAGTAAAGGCTCCGAAGACTGCTTTCGCAGTTGCACACAGCGGTTTTTCATGTTTCGACTTACTGTAGGTAGTTCTCCCTCGGACATCTAAGGTACACTGACGCGCTGTCGCTGGATTTGCGATCGCCCCAATTCCGCCTCATGTTTGTCAAAAGCTATCTTTTCAACCTTGACTCTCTCTCATTACGTGTGTTTGTGAAGCGTTCTCTTCATGCCTGATAAACAAGGTGCCTTGTGATGGTTTCTGCTCTCTCCTTATAGCTATCGTACAATTCCAATAAATGCATGGCATAGCAGTTCCTAAAAAGCACACCTTATATCTGCAGTGTTTCGTTCAAACTTCTTCGGCTTCTATCTCTGTGCCCATTAAAGCTTTAGATCGGCTCAGTGTTTTGTAATGCTCAGGTTTATTTTCCAAACGGTTTGCACCCTCTTCCTGCTTCATTTAAAGGACTTTATCTTCCAACTAGTGGCACCGCATTCGTCAATGGCCATGATATTCGAACCGATATCGAGGGTGTTCGGAAAAGCCTGGGATTCTGCCCGCAACAGGATGTGTATTTTGAAGACCTGACGGTGCGGGAACACTTGATTATGGTAGCACGCGTAAGTTTTACCCATTGTACAGTCGATCTAATGAATCTCTCGGTACTTCGATTCCATTATACGTTGTATTGTGGACAACACGGACTCCGTTCATCTGATGGGCTGAATTCATCGACGCGCGTTCCTTTTCAATTAACCACACTATCACTTCATTCAATTTGCTTGTATGTTGTTCAGCCCAATCTGCATTCTAGTAGCCGAATGGGCGCTGCGTGACGTAGTGCAAGCGTTTATGCTCGGAATCTGCGCTACTAGTGTTAACGCTGAAGCGGTGCTCGCCACTGTCTGTACGACAACAATTCTAAGACGACATCCAAAAACACCGACAACTCCAATCCGCACTAAACTTGAAATCTGTTGTCAATCTTAACCATAAGAATCTCCATGACATTGGTTATTAACTAGGTTTCGATGGAGTTAGTGAGAAAATTAAGACCAAATAAGTGATTAATTAAGAATTTTAAACAACGCTGTGAGAAGACGAAAGCTGGCAGATGTTAGCATTTCGTATTGTCTCGTCATTGCCAATACAATAACAGGAAAATATATATAACATCAGCTAGGGTGTGACCGGATAAAAGAGAGACAGGGTGGGGTACAGATATGCCACCCCTTCGTCCATTTGAGCTTTAAGCTTACAAACAGCTGTTTTTGCACACAGAATTCTTTTAGAGTAGACTTTCATCGGAGCCAAACGTTTACATGACAGAGACTAGTTGTTGTTCACGTCAAATTAGACTGGGAAATTGATTTCTAGGTTGTTTGAGCAGTCAAATCGATAGCTTAGAGCCAGGTCATATATGGTAGGTAAATGAAAGAAGAGAAATTTATTACATAGAAACTCGGCTCTACAACGTAATCAACCAAACGGTTAGGTAACATACACTGGCGGATATATATAACCTCGGCAATAGGCAGGACCTGATTGAGGGGGCCTTTCGTGAAGCGTTCAGTTGATGTGTGTGTTGTTTTGGCCTTATCCCCAGCGGCTGTGTTGCCAAAATCCTATGTGCAACAGCTGTGCTTGGTTTGCAGCATCCGGTTTCGGATTTCCTTGTCACTGTGGGCTCCACAGGGACAGCCACAGGTAGCCTGTGTCTACAGAGGGAACATGGGTGGCTTGCGCAGCACCACCCACATCTCCTACCACAAACCCCAACCCATATTGTAAACCCGAAGAAATAAGACCCATAGATATGCGGATGGGAACCACGTTTCATCAACGGAGCCGGCCCACACTCCTTCACAGACAAACACAAGCATGCTGTAGCTGGGGAATCAAGCGCACACAATGTGGTGGCTGGACCGTGGTTCGCTCCACACTGAGTGCATGGAAGCACCTTTTGATCCTAACACGGCCACAAAGACCCTGCACCCCGTTCCCTCCAGCAACGACCAACTGTCTCCTGGAGCCAGTATGAACGAGGCAGTGGGTAATAGACAGGTGGGCACCTTGTCAACGTGCATTTCAAGCGCAGCCACAACTGAGATGCCAAACAACAGCCAATCACTTGCAATAACATTAGCAAGTAAAGTACATCTGTTAAAGCATACGGCTATGCAGACATAACTCTTCTCTAAATTAGCATATGAAGTAAGTTGGTTAGCAACGAACCCGCGATAAATACAAAATGTCCATAAGTTACTCGAAAAATTTTACAACCGCAATAATGTTAACAAATATAAGCACAATTAGCATAAGCAACGTGTGCATCTCAATGAACGCTTATTCAGGTAGGCAGAACAAACCAGTTTAACTGGAATGCAATTTATCTAGCTAAAAAATACCTAGTTTTAGCGTAAGTTGGTTTAGCCCAACTGCGGTTAGGAAGTGTCATGAACGCAACATCAGCCTCAACATTTGGCATACACATGGTTGGCGGCATCCGGTTTCGGATTTGCCTGTCACAGTGGCCTCCACAGGGACAGCCACAGGACGCCTGCGCTTGCGGGAGGACCATGGGTGGCTTGCGCTGCACCACCTACAGCTCCAACCACACACCCCATATCCAGTGTAAACCCGAAGGAATAAGACCGGGAGGCATGTGGATGGGAGCCACGTTTCATCAACGGAGTCGGCCCACACTCCTTCACAGGCAACCACAAGCACACTGTATTTGGGGAATCAACCGCACACAAGGCGGTGGCTGGACCGTGGTTCGCTCCACACTGAGTGCATGGAATCACTCTTCGAGCCTAGGACGGCCACAAGCAGTGTGCACCCGTCCCCTCCAGCATCGACCAACTGTCTTCTGGAGCCAGTATGGACGAGGTAGTGGGTAATAAACAGGTAGCCACCTTGTCAACATGCACATCAAGCGCAGCCACATCGGGGATATCAAGCAATTGCCATTCACTTTAAACGACAAGCTGAAATAAAATAAATCCAATAATACATACAGATACGGTGGTATAACTCTTCCCTAAATTACCATATGAAGTAAGTTGGTTAGCAACGAATCTAAAATAAGTAAGAAATGTCCACAAATTACTTAAACATGATACAAACGCAACAAAATTACCGAGTATAAGCGCCATTAGCGTAAGCAACGTGGCCAGTTAATAGAACATTATTCAGGGAGGC